GAGCATCTCCTATTGCCTGCTATACTCCCCTGATGAATTTATAGGCAGCCACAAGCCACCTCTCAGCCTTCTGTTGCAAAGGCTGAAGAGATCCCGGTCCCTCAGTCTCTCATAGGGCCTTGCCTGCAGGCTTAAGACCATGCAAGTGGCCCTCCCCTGAACCCTCTCAAGATTTTCTGCATCCCTCTTGAAGTGCGGCGCCCAAAACTAGTACTCCAACTGTAGCCTGATCAATGCCGCATAGAGGGGAAGCATCACCTCCCTGGACCCGTTCATCATGCATCTGCTAATGCATGATAAAAATGCAGTTAGTCACATTGATGACTCATGTTCATCTTGGAGTCAGCTATGATTCCAAGATCCCTTTCTGCTGCTGTGCTGCTGAGAAGGTCATCCCCCAGCCTGTAAGTGTGTTGGTGGTTCTTTTTGCTCAGGTACAGCACTTTGTGTTTGTCTTTGTTGAACTGCATCCTATTTCATTCTGCCCATTTTTCCAACTTGTCCAGATCCACCAGGAATTGTTCCCTACCCTCTGGTGTGTTAACTTTGCCCCATAATTTGGTATCATCTGAGAAACTGGACAGGATACTCTCCACACACTCATCCAAGTCATTGATGAAGACATTGAATAGCACTGGTCCAAGGACCAAGCCTTGCGGGACTCCACTGCCCACATCTTTCCAGGTCAATACTGACCTGTCCACCACCACTCTCTGGGCGTGACCCCTAAGCCAATTTGCCACCCAGCTGACCATGTAATCATCTACATCACCGCCTGTCAGTTTATTTACAAGAACAGAATGATATACTGTATCGAAGGCCTCCTTAAAGACTAGGTAGATGAAATCTACCTCAACTCCTGCATCTAAGCATTTTGTGACCTGGTCAGAAAAAGAAACAAGGTTAGTCAGGCAGGGTCTATCCGCAATGAATCCATGCTTATTTCCTTTCAGCATTATTTGCCCTATTGGGCTCCCACAAATGTGACCCTTAATGATTTTTTCAAGAGTTTTCCCAAGGAGAGAAGTGAGTCTAACTGGCCTATAGTTTCCCGGTTCCTCCCTCCTCTCCTTCTTGAACATAGGGGCTACACTGGCCCTTTTCCAGTCCTCTGGGACCTGACCGGACCACCTTGAGTGCTTGAACAGCTGTGCCAGTGGCTCTGCTATGACGCTGGCCAATTCCTTCAGCACCCTTGGATGAAGTTCATCCGGGCCCGCTGATTTGAACACATCCAGCCCCTCCAAGTGCCTCTTCACTAAGTCTGTGCTAACAGTTGGTGGGCTGGTGTCCCTCCTGCGTCTATCTATGATCCAACTGGGAGATTTATCGTGGTCTGTGTCTAGGAATACAGATGTAAAGAACTCATTGAAGAGCTCAGCTTTGTCCCCGCTCTCTGTCACCAACTGCCCTAGTTTGTCCTGTAGGTGTCCTATGCTACCCTGTGCCTTCCTTTTGGT